TATCCGGGTCAGCCCAGCCTCCTGGTATCTCTCTTATCGGCTTATTCCACAGTGGAAGGATCTTCTTTCACGTCAACAGGCAATTATCCACTTCATAAATAGTATAGACCTTGTAAATTGCCACGTCTTTCTTGTCTTGTTGTCATGTTTAGGAATGGTGGTGTTGGTTTAAAGGGGAGAAGATGTCAGTTGGGATTTATAAAAACATCGAATAAACGGTGTTTAGTGCAAGAAATTTTTCAGTATAATATCAAGACATTGAGTTCAAATGGAGATGGAGGCCCTTCACTATCTGCTGGCTTGAGAATCAGCTGCACATAGTTAAGATTTTATGGGACTTACGTAACATGCTAAGAAATACGATTCAGACGCAAGGAAACCTGACGCTCTATTGGGCACATCTCAAACAGACGTGAGCAGAGAATCGTCAAGCAGGAATGTGGAATGGGAAACAAATGGATTGAAGAAACAAGTACATCCAAGAAAAACTCTAAAACCAAATGTGATAGGAGAAGGTCAAGGGCACTGGGCTGGATTCCATCCATGATATCAGAAAGATTGGGAACGATAGGACCTATGGAGAGATAGACGGCGAGGAATTTGAATGGGAAACAAATGGTTTCAGGAACGAGGGCGTTCAAGAGAATCGATACAATCAAGTATGATGAAAGAGACCCAGGATACTGCACTGTTTTTCATTATCATTTAAGAAGGATTGTGTCGAATAGAACTGAATGGAGAAAAATCTGGCGAGCCGTATGGGACCTGTTATGGCATGACATCATGATTATGATAATGGATGATGATGATGATGATGATGGTGGTGGTGATTGGGTTATAGTGGTGATGATGATGAGGATGATGATGATATTTTTTCAGTTTCCCTGGTATTTAGAATTCTGGTAAGTGAAGTGAAGTTTACTGTCTCACAGTGCAGATAGAATTCTCGCCGCAAAGATTCGTTAGTTTGGTTGTTTGGGAACCATTGGAGCTAAAGGCTTGCTGCCTGTCTGAAGGTTTAAGATTTAAAATTGTCCACAAATATCAGCACACTGCAGACTTAACGCTCACATTCAAGAATTAAAAACGCACAGTCCCATTGTGTCCCCGCCAGATCGCACCCCAAACGCTCAAATCATACTGCAGCACCGTCCAATACCGCACAACATGCGAGAAAACACATAGCCAGATTGAAAAGGTGTCAAAGACAAACTTAAGGTAACCCCTGGAGACCTGCTGCTGACGTGCAGGTTCATGGAGGAAGCACAAACGATAACATGAGCATATCAGTTGTGACACTGGCTCCCACAGTTGACACAGCCTATAATGCGTAGCATGTTCTGAGAAGCAAAGGCGGCCGGTGAGATGTTGCCCAAATAATCCTTCAAGTTCCTTAGTCTATACTTTTACAGGTCTAGCACTATATGCAGCGAAAGTGTAAAAACGGCTCTTTGCTTGCTGTTACTATTTTGATTCTTCAACTGATATTTCTGTTCATTTCAGACTGTGTGGGTGCCTCGTCCAACATCTATGCCAGTGGCTGCACAGGCCAGCAGCTGCAGTTAGCATGTGAGGCTAATGAACGTATCGCCATCAAACGAGTTTTCTATGGAGTCAAGCGGGGCTGGGACTGCATGCAGAATAAGACGTTATACAGGACTGCGAATGATATCAGTTACAGGTGAGAAGAATTAATAGGAATGATACAAGTTAGATGTGAGAAGAACTAACAATGGATAATACAGAAATGGAAGAGATGCAGGCTAGAGGGGAAAATAGGATAATGAAGGAATTGAAAGATTAAAAGTTACAGGTAAGAAGAAAGAACAGTGGATAATACACTAGTGGGAGGGTGAGTTACAAGTGAGCAGAAGGACACACTTAACGATACAGGAATAAGAACGATACCAGTTACAGTTGAGAAGAAAGAACATTGAAGAATACAGCAATGAGAACGAAAGTGAGCGAGACTACGCTCTTTTATCAACGGTCTCAAAGGATAGAGAATGGGTTTTATTACTGAACTTTGGAAGACCTTTCATGTATACAAAGTTGTGACTACAATTTAGGTATTTTAGTCGACTGTTATCCTGAATTTCAGTGTGTTTAACATGCGGTATCATTGCATGGATATTGCACAGTTGCTTAGATATAAAGTCATGTCCTTTGTCGAACCTTCCTCCCAAACAACCGTACGGAAAACTTCTCGATCACAAGCAAGATGTCCCGCGTCTGATACACTCATATGGAGATCAACCGCCACATCCTGCACCCATCTTCTCTTTGGCCTTCTTCTTCCTCTCTTTCCTGGCATATACCCCTCTGTTATTGTTCTCTCTAAACTTTCGTGACGCTTCAAATGACCAACATTTTATATTTTCTATTTTTTTTCGACTTTATTAGACAAAATTCTTCAAAATTCAGTTCTTGAAGTATGGATGCATTTGTTCTTTTCTTTACCCGTGATATTCTTAGAATGCGTCTATAACATTTGTATTTAAAGGCATTTATGCACTGTTCATCTTGTTGAGTAAGTGTCCAGGTCTTATAGGCGTATGTTGCAAGGGGAAGATACATGCTCTAAGAAATCTATTTTTTTTTTTAAACTTCTTTCTGTCACACTCTATAAAGTATTTAGTTGTTTCAGTAGTTGAAAAGCATTTGATAGTCGTCGTAGATATAAAGTAAAGACTTTAAATTTCAATACTATCTAACCCTGAACATTTGTTCCTTAATTTTTTTTTAAATACGTTACCTTTCTTCTCCAGTCCATCGTGGCGCTTGAAAGTAAAGATCCCTTTATGCTTTAGGCTCATCGGGCATATGGGAAGAGCATTCCATATTTTTACAGACCAATCGGCACTGGGTGGGTAATGTGGTCATTATTACGCCAGCCGTCTTTACTTCCCCGGGACAGCTATCCTGACACCCATTTTAGGCTGGGTCGACATGCGACACCCCATGCAATGATAAAAAGCCACGCAGCCAGCAGTAGGTTTCGATCGCGGTACATTGGAATTACGAGTCGGACTCGCAACGCCTTAGCCACGTTCGCCGCTTTCAACATGCATACTTATGTTTAAGTCGGCTCTGTGGCTAAGTCGATGCGAACGCTTCGCTTCGTAATGCCGGGATGCCAGGTTCGATCCCAGCTGCGGGCAATGCGCCTTGCGTTGGTTTCGACAGTGGTATCAAGAAAGCCGACCGTCCAGGAGGCAATGGCAAACTACTGGATGTAAATTGCCTAGAAAAAACCACACAACAGTCAGGGGCTGTTAGGGTTGGTTCTGCAACGTCCTGTAAAGGATACGCAACTAACTAACCAACTTACTTGTGTTTAAATGCTCAGGGAGGCTCCGATTAACCTGAGCGGGAACGACTGCTGCCGAGCGTCTCACGTGGACTGCCAATTGGATGGTGACACCATGTATCCTACCCTCAACACCAAGTGCTCGGGCTATCAAAGCTGTCAGCTAGAGGTTCAGAAGGTGACCACTCGAAACCCCTGTCGGTTGAAATCGTACACTGATTATATGACCATTGTCTACGATTGCATACCAGGTAAATTGTTCTCCTCCTCCTCTAACTTCTTCTTCTTCTTCTTTTTTCTTCTTTTTTTTCTTCTTCTTTTCCTTTTTTTTCCTCATCCTCCTGCTCATCCTCCTCTCTGTCGACGTCATCGTCTTATTCTTTTTCTGCTGTATCGTCTTTACCAACATCCTACTTCTTAACTTGTAATTGTTCATTCTTTCTTTCTTTCTTTCTTTCTTTCTTTCTTTCTTTCTTTCTTTCTTTCTTTCTTTCTTTCTTTCTTTCTTTCTTTCTTTCTTTCTTTCTTTCTTTCTTTCTTTCTTTCTTTCTTTCTTTCTTTCTTTCTTTCTTTCTTTCTTTCTTTCTTTCTTTCTTTTCTTCTTTCTTTCATTATGTAATTGTTTTCTTTCCCATTTTATTCATGTATTCTCTTTCATCCACCCACGGGGCATCAGTCATGAACCAACTGGCACTAAATCCTCATACCCTTTGTCATCTTATTCTTGTATATATATTTTCCTTCAGTGAAAAATGTGCTTCTCAGTTGTAAAATACAATGCTTTTTGCGATTATAATACTTATAATTTATAATAAGTTCACCAATGAAAGGCTAAGAACAATTTTAGGTGAATAATTTCAAAGAATATTTAAGACACGAACGGTTTGGTCATCTTCAGAATAAAACAACACCAAACCAATAGCTATAGTTTACTTCTTAAGAAGAACAGGCTACAAGAGGTCAAAAAGAAAGACAGATGGAGGAGGTAAAAGAGACACTAGTGAAGCACAGCATGACATTAGCACAAGCTCAGGAACTAGCAAAAGACAGGAAACTACGGTATATTCAACTGTTCTCTGCCACGCTTTATGGCATAAGGGGTAGGGTAACAGAAAGAGGAAGAAGAGGTTCTTTAGTATAAATATAATAAATTATATATATAGTCTACGGCGTACTTTCCAAAAAAGGGGGCGTTCCTAAGAGTTAACTCCTCCCCACACACTCGTGTGTGTGTGCGTGCGTGCGTGTGCGTGTGTGATCTTTTCCGAGGTTTAAACCACTAGTTTATATTATTTTGATATCAACCATTTTATTTGGAGTTCCAGTTTAGTGCCATACAGCTTTGAGTGTAATGTTCTCTCACTGAACCAGCATTCCCTTCTTAATATTCATCCTTGTTATGTGGTTTCCTCACACAGCCCACTTGGGCATAGTGTGCACTAGGTAATACAATGCAGAGCTGATAAGGAGAACTCACCAGGGACCAAGGAAATTGTTTTTTTTTTTTTTTTTAAATCAGAAATCCCTCTAATCCAGGTAATAGTTTAAGGAAGAAAAATGCCGGGGATAAACAAATTGTTCTTCACAACAGAAACTGTCCTCATCGGAGATGGTGTTCAGCGGTCTGTTCTGTAGTAAACTGGCAACTGATGCACTGACTTTAGTGACTGATCTCATGGTTTCTTTTCAGGCGGAGACATCGCCACGTTCTGCTCTGATGATGTCAAACGAGGCAAGTCTTTGTATCTATCCAACCATGAGTATCCTGGGTCAATCCGCCCCAGACCTGAAGGTCACGACTGCCAGTGTATTGTCAGGACAGCTCACCCACAGGTACCTACTTAGGGGGAAAAAATAGAAGCTATTATTGTTTATAATATCATTATTATTGTTATTATTACTATTATTGTCGTTATCGGCATCGCATTTTCTTTTTTTTAACTCTTTGAGTCCCAAGGAGCGCATCGTACGTTCATAGATTCCTACCTAGAGGCCCAGTGAACGCAAGATGCGCTGATTCTTTTGACTACCCCTTGGGCCAGTGATGCTAAACCCCCTGGGACTCAAAAAGTTAAAGTCACATCAGGTTTTGCCGTGATTTAATACAGAGAAAGATCGTCCCAGGCGGCACCGCAGGTGAGCGGCATAAGCAGCGAAATCAAAATCCAGTTTGAACATTTTATTCGCGGCAGTTCAAAAATTTGCCTAATACTGAAGAATTCTACCGTACGGCCGTTAGCCGCCGCACTTTCATCTTTTCCTCATTTTTTTCCTGAAACTTCCTTTTCATCAGTGGCACTCTTGCTGTCGTCGGCTGGCTCTCTTTATCATTATTATACGAATCAGTATTCTGACATCATCATAATGTTCTTCTTCTTCGCCTTCTTTTGTTTTTCTTTCTTTCGTTCTTCGTCTGCTTTTTAAAAAAAAAATCCACGAATGATACAAATCCCTCAGTCACCTGATGCTAAAATCATGAATATAATAGTTAATTAGTTGCATTTCTTCACCCAAAAAAATCGCTAGCCAGCTCCATCATCTGTTCATTGTTTATGGTTTTAGTAGGAAATTTTAAGCTTGCCATTGCTTCCTCAACAGTCGGCACTTTATGCAACTGTCAACGTCAACATAAAAGCTGTCAACTTAATTAAAACAGGTATTTTGGAATTACAAACAGCGTTTGCAACCCGTAAGTCTTCAGACATGGAAACAATTATAGATTAAAACAATACTTGTGAAACTCCGTATACGAGACACACATACCGGCGATTTCCCACTGTTTATACTACTCGTCGACAACCCAAATAACAAGGGGTCTGTTGGATTCTCTCTCACCTTAGGGTCCTAATGTCCAGCATAGTTTTATTTAAAAAATTTCAAACTACGTCCTGTGACGTTTAGTGTATCATTCGTGATTATAATAGTGTTGAACAAACGAGTTGTATTTCTCTTGTGGATTGATATTTTTTTTTAATTACGAGGTAGAAGAGGATATCTGGATATTTTTTTCCACGTCCTGCCAGTGTGTTGGGAAACGAACAGAGAGATAATCTGACTGGTTGTGCACTACTTGGGTAATTAGCGCATGACAATCTAGATGTCGTTAAGATACTTTAGGGGCGAGTGAACAGTGCGGAGGCACAAACAGATAAACACTGTAAAAGGAGAATGGGGCTGCGAGGCGTTACCAGCGGATCGGATCGACGCTCTACACTCAGGGTCAAGGCGAGACCGATATTCATTAAAGCTGTTACTGGTGCCAGAAATCGGAACTGTGTTGAATGCTCAAGATGAGGACGAAGCGCTTATGGAAACGTCCCAAGTGCTGTGATGTATGTTCTTAATTCAATATTCAGAAGGTACTGCAGGATCAAAAGTGAACATTTCGCCCCTATTTTTTGCAGAAACTCCCATGTCGCTGATCCTAAATTGCTTTTCTCATTTCTTCAGGGTATCGCTATTCACGCCATCGATGTCCTTCTGGCTTGGGCCGATATAGGACCCATGGAGTGCAGGAGAAGTCTCAAAATCCAGGATCAAATGACGTACCAAAGAGATATACAGTGTGCGCACAGAGGTTACTATGGGTTCAAATCCATATACAGTCGACCTGTCAGCAATGTCACCGTGACGTTGTCCAGTCAACCCGGAGACGGCATGGCTTTCGTCTGGTTACAAGTGAAAAGTAAGTTTTATGTTTGTTATATTGCCTGTTCATAGGTATTAAAAAACAAAGTAAGGTTTGTATTTGTTTAAATGTCTTGTTTCAAGTCAAAAGTAGGGGTTTTGTTTGTCTTGATTGTTTGCTTACACGCCAAACGTGAGATCTGTCAATAAGCCAGACATGTGAAGCAAGTGTGGAACAAGACCAAAGAGCAGAAGCGGAGGGAAAATAAAAACTTATCAAAGGAGGAATGTTGAATTAGGAATCGACATCAAAGCACTCGGGACACGCCTAATAGTGTTCCGTCTCCATCTTAGAAAGTGAACGAAGAGTTCAAATTCCGATGGCACGAGTAACTGTCTGTATATCCGCCTCTCCTTTCCCTTGAGTGTTGAGCGTCGGCCTGTTCCCCTGAACTCCTAGCAGCGTTATTCGCCTCCGTCGGAAATTATCTGTTTGCGCTTCCGAGCTGTTTACTCTCTCCTAGAGGGCCCTCACAGCGTCTAGCTTGTCATTCACCAGTTCACCACTAAGTGGTGCAGAACCGGCTAGTCTATCTGCCTGCTCATTTTCCAACACACCGACATGACACACTTGGAGAGAATATCCAAGGGATACAAACTACCCAAGACCTCTGAAGTGATGCCTGCCACTCTGCACGGAGTATACATGTCTCCACCTTTTTCAACATGCATTGTGAGTCAGTGACAATCACGGCATGTGTGTAACAGCTGATTCTTAAGCCAGCGGAAGGCAGCAGTGACTGCCTCCACCTCCATTAGACTAGACGTTTTGATATCATATGCCAGGCTTTGTTGCAACAAGCGACCCCCATTCGCCTTGGCTAACCCCCCCCCCCCCCCCACCGTCCGCCCCATGCACTGCGTCTGCCCCTCAACACAGAGCCATGTGTATAGATAATCACATCACTTGGGCGGAAATTATCATGAATCATTTGTTAAACTTCTGGTTTTGCAGCGCAAGCTGACCAATCCCTGCACTCACGAACCAAAGTGATAAGAACACTGCACAAGTCTGAAACTTGCTCGGACACTTTGACCCACTCCTCTCCTCGCACAAATTTATCAAGCCTGCACACTTGTCTAATTGTGTCTTCAGCTTGCGCCTACCAAGACCTTCGTCTTTTCAGTCTGTGACCCTTAGATCTACCCAGGAATTCATGCAAGAGGTGCATTTTGTCTGAAACTACTCTATGACTTTGCTTGCAAAAACTGTGAGCCTATCTGCAATAGTAGGCAGTGCAAGTATATATTGAACAATACTACAAGAGTATCTCCTGTACAACCCAAAATTACCCGCATGGCTTCATTCTGTATGCGTACAAGTTTCATCAGCAGGCTTTTGATATGTTAAGCATTTCAGGTCCATAATCATTCACCGACAGGAAGTTTACAGCCGGGGGAACACGAAAAAGAAAATAATAACATAATCGAGGCTGGCTTTTTTTTCCCTGTTCATATTGATCTTGCCTCCCATGTTGATTTCAGATTGATGCTGCCTCCAATGTTGATTTCAGATTGATGCTGCCTCCCATGTTGATTTCAGATTGATGCTGCCTCCCATGTTGACTCTATACTAAAATAGGCACTGCTTTATGTCCTCAGGAGTAAAGGCGGCCGCGCGATACTACAAGAGGCCATCGATCTATAGAATATTTGACTTGTTTCATACGCCCGATGGCAAAAGCCTGGGGGGAAAAAAATTCTTCTATGTTTATCCAAATTTTACTATTCTGCATGTATGGTACTCAATATATTTCCCATCCACGATTGTCATGGTACCCATTACTCTTAACTTTTTTGAGTCACAGGGGGTTTAGCATCACTGGGACAGTGGGGTAGTTAAGAGAGTCATAAAATCGGCGCATCAAGCGTCATTGGGCTTCTAGATAAGAACCTATGAAGGTATGATGCGGTTTATGGGACTCAAAGAGTTAAATGAGAAGGAACAAAACTACGTTCTCTGGTCATATCATCAGAAGGGGAAAACTGAGGTATATTGTGACACGGGGAAAACTAGGGTATGTTGTGACAAGGGGACAACTGGGGTATGTTGTGACAAGGGAAAACTGGGGTATGTTGTGACAATGGGAAAACTGGGGTATGTTGTCATCAGTTCTCGTTATGCCTAGTGGCACACGAGGCTCCAGAGAGGACTTTCCATGCCTTCCTGTCCTGTGCAATCTTCAGTGCAGTTTTTCATGTCAAAGATGCCGCACTCAAGTCACTTTCCATTGTTCGTCTTCATGTTGTTTTTTATGCACCACTTTTTTCTTTTTCCATCTGGTGTCCATATGAGAGATGTTTTGGCAGGTATATCAGAAGTCATTCTCATAACGTGGCCAAGCCATTTCCATCTTCTCTTGGTAATCATACTGTCTTAGGGTTTTTGGTTTGTGACTTGAAGTAGTTTAGTGTTTGAGATTGTATCTGGCCTGAAAATTTTGATAATTCTACGTAGACATGTGTGGTGGAAGGTGGACAGCTTGTGAGCATCCTTTTTGGTCTTTCTCCAGCATTCCACTCAAAAAAAAAAAAAAAAAGCAAAATGATGCTCTTGTAGAGTCAGAGTTTCGTTCCTCTGCAGTAATTGTTGGATTTCCAGATTTGCCTTATCCTTCCAAAAGCAGGTCTAGCTTTATTCAGACGTGACTGTATGTCCACTTCGGTCCCCCCGGTAGGTACACCATACTGCTAAGATATGAGACATTTTCTACATTTTCAAGAGTTTGGTTATTTATGGTCACTGGTTGTTGGTTTGAACTGCTTGTCATGATCTTAGTTTTCTTTGTATTTATTCTCAGTCCCACCATTTCTGCTGTACTGTGTAGTCTGTTACTTTTTTCTTGTATATGTTCATGTTTATGTGATAGGAGTGCTATATCATCTGCAAAATCAAGGTCCTCAAGCATGGTGAATGGAGTCCATCGTATGCCTCTTAATGTCGTGTCTACTGTGTTCTTTAGTAACCAATCAATCACAAGGTTGAAGAGGAGAGATGACATAAAACATCCCTGTCTTACACCTGTCTTTACTGTATTGTAATTTTTTACTGCAGGAAAAGTCTTTATAGAGGAGAGCAATTTTATTGCCAGTTTTTCTGGAATTCCATAGTGTCGTAAAATTGTCCATAGACTGTCTCTAAGGACGCTGTCAAAAGCTTTCTCAAAGTCCACAAAATGTATATATATACTTATCTGCCATTCAGTGCATTGTTCTAAAATGTTACGTATGGCGAAGATGTGTTCAGTTGTTCCTCTGCCCTTTCTGAATCCTGCTTGTTCTACTCGTAGGCATTTATGTACTAGGATCATATCATGGGATCTTATTCTGGAATCATATTTTAGAATTTATCATGAATTCTTTGTAGAGCCAAGTGTGATGATATGGCTAGTTCCCATTAGTGTTATAGGTTTCCATGCTCTGAAAATTTTCAAATTGTACTGAGGGAGGAGATAATAATGTTTTAAATAATTCTTAGTGTGATAATGTTGATCATGAGTCACATCAATCAATCAATCAATCAACCAATCAATCAATTAATCAATTATTCAATCAATCAATCAACCAATCAATCAACCATTCAAAAAATGGATATTTATTTATTAATTAATCAATTGTCAGTCAGTAAGTCAATATATATTTTAATTCAATAATGAAGTAATGATTACATTAAACATACATGAATATTAATTAACTGATTAGCCAATGGATAAATCAGTCAATCAATCAGACAACCAATCAATTAATAAATCAAATAATTAAACAACCAATAATCAATTTTTCATCAACACTTATCAAAAACTATAGTTCATACATTTCACAAGGCTGAAGATACCAGGGTTAAATATCCATGGCTGAGGTTTAAAACAAAAGATCACTCTTGCAGCATTCAGAAACAGAGTATGAGAGTTGCATCATAGGGTATGTTGTGACAAGGGGAAAACTGGGCTATGTTGTTACAAGGAAAATCATATGTTACTGCAATCGACCTTGATGTACATTGGGCATTCCCACGAGGGCTCAGTCCTCTAGTGCAGTAACCAGCCCAAGGTAAAAACTCTTCTGACTGTTCACATGAAAAGCTGGTTACAATGTCTCTTATCTTGACCTCGACGACTGCACAGACATGATTCACCAGCCTTCGCTCTGACTTTCATGTAAGGGAGGTTAAGTGTGACCTGCGAATGATGACTATTTATTCCGGCAGAGCACAGGAATGCCCGTTGCAGTTTTCTAATGTACGTTCATGGAGTCTGAAATGATCAAAGCGTGTGTGGCTGCTTCCATTGCTTCACTTGCGAGTGCTCTGGGCGACAACGGGAAAGTTAAAGGAGAAGAGAAGCATGGGGATGTAAAAAGATAAGATGCTGGTTAGTGTGAGGTATCAGTCACGGGGATCATCTGTGTCAGAAATAACTGAAAGTGATCTAGAGAAAAAGTCGCCGTTTGTGGCTTAGGTTTTACGAACGCGCTTTGAAATGCCAGGGTGTCAGGTTCGATCCAAGCTGCAGGCAGTTTGGCAGCAGAGAGACTTGCATTGGTTTTGACCGTGCTACCAAGAATCGATGGTATAGAAGCAATGGCAAACTACTGAGCATACAATAGTTAGAAAAACTGCAACAGCCCCCCCCCCCCCCCCCCTTTCTCTTCAAAAAATTTTCGGGTTGGTTCTGCAACTTCAAGTAAACAATACGCAACTAACTAGAGAGAAAGCTGTGGAAAGATCTAAGCGAAAGAGGAGAATGATACACTTATGTTATTGTGCCCCCCCCCCCCCCCCTTTTCCTACTTGTTTGGTCCTCTTACACACACGCACACATCAGTTTTCTGTCCCTAGCCATAGCTTAACTGGGGATTTGGTGTGCTGTTATGTTGTGAAGTCCTGGGCTGTCAGATTTTTCCTTCATTTACTCATCTCCTGGGTTTCTCTCTCTCTCTCTCTCTCTCTCTCTCTCTCTCTCTCTCTCTATCTCTTTCTCTCTCTCTCTCTCTCTTTTTTTTTTTTTTCTCTCTCTCTCTCGCTCTCTCTCTGCCTTTTATTATCTCGGGTCGACATCGTTAGATTCAATCCGACTTGGTCATCTAACCATTTCAGTCTTTTTTTTTTTAAATTAAATGTGGGTGTTGTTCTATACATTGATCGAATCACTTCATTTCTGACATGGATCTCTTCTGATTATGCTTGTAGCCTTTCTTAAACCCTCACATTATTGGTGAAATTATAGACTAAATATTTCTAAACCAAAGAAATTAATATCATATGGAACTTGTTTACAGCTAATGATGCTGATGGATCTGTAGAGGTCATCTGTGGGCAACCCTTGCAGGATCTGTTGAATCGACTGCGCCACCAGTCGGAGTCCAGACAGAGGGAGAGTACCACAAGCACAGAGAGTGACAACACAGGAGAAGATGACAGGCTGTCCCCTGACGGTGAAAGTAAATCCAATGGAACTAATGTTATTTTGAGAACGGGACCTCACGCCATGAACTCTGACCTAGGTAATGGCTATGAATTGTAGTATGTGCGTGCGTGTGTGTGTTCGTTTGTCTTGTTTTTATCGCAATGTCCGTATTAGGATACTGCTGTTGGACACATGCTATTCTTTTCCATTTTCTTCCTTACCTCTTCTAACTCGTTTCTCGTCTACTATTATTACTGATTCTACTACTACTACTACTACCACCACCACCACCACCACTACTATACTATTGCAGCTGATGCTGCTGCTATTACTACTTCTAATACTGCTATAATAATAATACTTTTGCTGCTTCTGTGAACGCTTCTTCTCCTTCACCTCCTTCTCCAGTTAGTCCAACTAATTTTTGGAGAGACTTTAGAATAATGTGCTGTGCAATTTAGTTTTCATTTCTATAAGTTTGTTCTTAAAACCGTTAATCATCTTTCATCCTGGCCCTGCATCTGAATTGCACACAGAACGTTGGAACTATGAAACTAATTTTATAAACCCTAAGTCACACAGATAAAATAAACAATATCAGTTTAAGCTTGGGGAAAAAAAGAGAATAGGAAAATAAATGCTTAACTAATAAATATACGTGTAGAAACTTTTTCATTTGAGAAAATATAGTCCGACCCATCCTCAGATGCAGCTGTCCTCCCAGTGTTTCCATGCTCCTTACACCCAGTAGAAATTGGCTGGCATGTCCTTTCTTTCTTTGCCCCCAATCCAGTTTCTACATGCTTGACTTCGTTTAATACCCATTTCCAGTTGACGGCTCATCAACTCTTCGTCTCTGAATCCTTTGTCTCAGCGTCTCTGAAACGCAGCGAATTCAGTACGTCTGCCCTGTACCTACCTTCCAGTATACTAACTACTGCAGACACGGCAAGTCTGTCGGCTCCTTCTTTTCCTTTCACCTCAGCGACTCCCCGTGTACACAGCCAAGATTTTGCAACACACAAATGAGTAAATGCACGTTTTGTGTTTGTCCTAACTTTCAAATACGAAGGCTTAATTTTTTAAAAGATTTCAAGTGTTTTGCGAATAAAGATATGAGTTATGAGTTGGGTTGTCTTCACGGCACTCCGGACACATCTATAGGATCCATAGGTTCTCAGGATCCGTTTCAACCCAAACACTAGCGTCCCTCTTATGGTAGTGCCGGTCCAGTGATAGCTGGCAAGGCTTCTCTTACCTCCCGCGTGCTAGACTGTGCTGATCTTTACTTCTAATTCTCGCATTTTTATCAGCGATATAAATGCGTTGCTCCTAAAGAGGACAAAGACACGTTTTGAACAGGGAATTTAAACTAATAACCACTAGCTAATGAATGTCCACTTTCAAGGAAACAAGTGCTAAATTCCATGAAAAGACAACAGGTCAAATAGTTCGGACATGTGTCAGTATTACCAAAAGAAACCTGCCATCCACAAATACCTCTGTCACTTAGATGCAACGGATGCAGAGATAAAGGTCGCCCCCACAGGCCACGAATAGATGGGAGTGTATGAGGTTATGAATACCAGCAACTACGTACAAGTATCAACTCATACCAGACTTCAAATCTTGAAGGTGAAGGCAGAACAGGGTCTAGAGCAATGTTTTCCAAAGTGGAAAACAAAGACGGAAAGAAATAAAGATACAGTGAGAGAAACAGCAATATAGAGAGCAGAAGAGATCAAGAAACAGCATTAAAGAGATAAAGAAAGACAGACAGAAATAAATGGACTTTTCTTTCAATACAGGCCGGTAGCTGGAAAGCCGCCGATCGGCTTAGTGGCAGTTCTCTTCCTTGGCTGCATCGCAAACACGGAGCGGAAAAGTCACGAATCAAATGACATACTTACATATCATCATACTGTTGAGTGTACTGTTGCGTAGTCATCATACGGTTGCGTAGGGTGTAGGGTTTGGGTTAGGTTTAGGGATAGGGTTAGCGGCGTTAGGGGTTGGGTTAGGGTTAGGTGAACAAACACAGTGCCCTCTGTCGCGCCGAGCGTTTCTGTAACAACAGACGAAGAACTAAAAGGGAGCGAGAGAAATTCTTTAGGGACCCGTATCAGTTTGCCCGAGGTCTATTCGAGCAACCGAAGTCTGGGACTCTGGTTGTCAGTCAGAAAGAACTTGAGCTACATCTAAGCAAGATGTACTCTGATAAGAAGAGGAGAGAGCCTCTTGATGACAATCCAGAGATCCTTAGCGGACTCAAACAGCCTTCGGTGCCGAAGGTACCATTTAAACTGGTACCTCCCCTTTGGTCTGAGGTTGAGGACGTTGTGAAAAGGCTACAGGCCTGCTCGCGATCGAGCGATGCAGGCTGGTCGGGAAATTCAAGGTATGGTGTCTCCAATTCATGTTGATTCCGAAGCTTCTATGGCCACTGCTAGTCTACGAGGTGACGATGACTGCAGTGGAAACCATGGAAAAGAAAATCAATACAGCCTTAAGAAAGTGGATTGGTGCACCGCCTTGTCTGACCGACGTGGCTCTGTATTGTAAGCAGGCTAAGCTGGTACTTCCGTTCAAGTCGATAACAGAAGAGTTTAAAGTCGGCAAAGTAAGGCTCGCCATGCTTCTGCGTGAGTCTTCAGACCCAAATGTCACCGCTGTCCAGCCCGCTCTAAAGACTGGCCAGAAGTGGAAGGTCCTCGATGCGATAGGAGCTGCTCAGAACGCACTAAAATTGAAGGAGGTAATGGGTTACACACAAAACCGACCGTCGAGGCCTAGGGCACGGGAAGGTCAATTGGTGGTCAAAGGCTTCAGCCAAAAGAACGCCGAGACATGGTGATACAAACGGTGAGGGACAACGAAAACGAGATTCGGGTTCAGAAAGCAGCCCAGCAGTCGCAGCAGGGCCATTGGGTCAGCCTGGAGAGCGCATTGCCTAGAATACTCACATGGGGTGAGATCTGGCGGATGACCCCGCTGCGATTGAGCTTTATCGTTCGTTCGGCGTACGATGTATTACCGTCCGGTGTTAACATGGTTAAATGGTCTGCGACCAACGATCCGACTTGCCCGTTGTGCAAATCAAAGCAAACTCTTGAGCACGTCCTGTCCGCGTGCAGGAAAGCCCTAGGTCAAGGCCGCTATACCTGGCGCCACAACAAGGTGCTAAAAGAGTTAGCAGCCGTTGTCGACCAGGCTAGAATGAGGGCTAATGCCAGAGCCAGTTCTAGTATCGTCCCCATTCGTTTCCTCAAGGCTGGGCAGGTTCCAAAAGGTTATGTCAACAAAAACGCATTCGCTCCATCTGTGCTAGACTCTGCGAGGGACTGGTTACTGGCGGTTGATCTGCCAGGACATGAACGGTATCCCGAGTTGATCCGTAAAAACCGGCCTGCGACCGGACATCGTTCTCCATTCTGCGCAAAAAACGGCAACTCATCCTGATTGAGTTGACGGTCCCGTTTGAGTCGCGGATGGAGGAGAATCATTTGTATAAGCTCGAGAAATACAGTGATTTAGCAGCCGGTTTGAGGAGAAACGAGGCTTACACAGTGCGGGTATTTGCCGTCGAAGTGGGAGCGAGAGGCCTCGTTTCCACTTCGCTCTACAATGTGGTTAAAGAGTTAGGATTGCGCGGTAATGAACGGAAACGGGCACTCAAAAAACTTGGTGAGGTGGCCGAAAGGGCATCCAGCTGGCTCTGGACGCAGCGCAACAACGTAGGGGACGGGCCTCGGTGAGCTGGTCCGGGTATCTAGTGGAAAAGAGTTTCTTATCCCTTTGAAAAGTCCATCGTGTACGAATTGTCTGCCAGTGTCTCTCTGCCAACTGCTAATAAAAGTCCAAGATGTGTCCGGTAAACCAAAGTAAGCTTGTCGCTCGGTCGTCCAGGCATGCGGACTGTTCTAATTACGCAGCCGTGGCGACTTCTTATCTCACAGTACCTCCTTCGAAACCACCAAGTCGTCTTGTCTCTGGCCGAAAGTATAACACCATCCGGTAATTCTGTGCGGCGGGGAAGCAGCCCTGAGCTTCATGAACTCAGGTGGGCCCACCTCCGAATACGTTTAGGAATCGTGGGCCGAAACGTGTGTCGAAAGAGGATAATTTCTACTGATGACTGTAGATCCCCGCTGTACTTGCTCCCTGTGAGTTTATTCCTATAGGGTTTGGGTTAGGGTTAGCGGCGTTAGGGATAGGGTTAGGGTTAGGGTTAGCGGCGTTAGGGGTTGGGTTAGGGTTAGGGATATGGTTAGGGATAGGGTTAGGGTTAGGATTAGGGTTAGGGTTAGGAGTAGGATTAGGGCTAGGGGTAGGGTTAGGGGTAGGGTTAGATGTGACAATTTTGACGTAGGAGTTCCATATAATGGCCGACAATCTGATGCTTGTGGGAGTGGCGCCACTGGAATTCTCCCAAATATGACGGCAATAGCGCGCGGCTAGTGCCCAATCGGTAGCGAATTGTCCGTTTGAGTAGCATCCACAGTCCTTAGATTGTTTGGGTGTGTATGTGACTGTGCACGATTATTCGGAATTCCTGCGTCAAAATTGTCACATCTAACCCTAACCCTAACCCTACCCCTAACCACGCAAATTTTATCGTTCATTGAGTCATAAAGATCTGCAGGAGTCACATCCGTGGCAACTAATACCACGTTTAAATCAGGATATATCTACTTAAAAAAAAAAAAAAAACAGATTTCCCCGAAGCGCCAAATAAATACACAGTAAATGAATTTAATAAAGTAAGCCACAAAAGAAAAAGAACTGTTTGTAACAATATTTTCTGTTTCAGCTGCCATTGTGGGCGGAATTGTGGTTGCTGGGTTTATACTTATTGCCATGGTGATAATTGCTATGGCATTTCACTGCAAGAGGTAATTATTCCATTGTGTGAATGTATAGAATTGTTTGTGGCTAAATTGTATGGTACAATAGTATTGTTGTTATAGCCACATTACACAAATTGCATGCACACACACTCATAGATTTTCTGGCTAGGACATGTGGTTATGCAGGCTGACAGAATGGCTGCTGCTGCTGCTCCTCTGGGTGATGAACTACTTTATGATAGAGTGGACGTGGTGACGGCGCTCTGGGATCAGATGGACAATGCAAAAGACAGGGAACATATACAATGAAAGACTAACTCAGTATTCAACACTTTAAGGGTGGAGGGGGGGGGGAATGGGCAGACTTTAAATCACAGTGCAACTAGTATTAATAGCATGTCGATTCTTTTGTGGCCACTGAAGAAAGAAACGGAGCACATGTGGGAATGCCATGAGTGCAGTAACGGTAATTCTTGATTTATTCATTCATTCATGTACGCGCACACTCTCTCCCATCCAGTCACCAACCAACACACACAGAAAACAACACCACCAAGAACAAAAAAAAACATTTGAATTTTAAATTAGGAACAACTAACAAATCTGTTTTTCTTCTTCTAGAATGCGAAAAGAAAAGAGACAGCCCAAACCACTGGAGCTGTACCCTGCTGTCAACTCTGAGCCGTTGGATTTGTCCTCTTACTGCAGATACGATTATGACGATGACCACCTGTGCACAATTAGCCGATCCCCAATGAAGATGGCAACTCTCGCTGATGAAGGCGGACTGGTTAATAGTTTTAGGCCCAACGGTTTCACAACCATAACCCACACAGAACCTTGTGTCATTCACAGAGACCTTTCGCCAAGCCCCCCATTGCCTCCGGGAATTTCAACGCCACCACCGTCTATTCAGAATCAGCCATTATTGTCAGGAAGATCATACCGAGAGGTACATTACCCTGGCGATATGTCCTTGAGATTTGTGAAGCCTTTAATTAACAATGGCAGTGCTTTGACACCTACAACTATTGATATTGAATCCTACGACCAACATCTACAAGGACACACCACTCTACCTGCCAACCGAAAAGCAGTACTGATCAGCTGCGGGCCTAAAAGCCCACTAGGAAAACGTAGCAAAAGCGTGACCTTCTCACAGCCTGTCGCCATGGTTACACCCTTGAATTCTGAATCAGAGGAATCTGTTGAGAAGCCAATGGTGACTGCAGACGTTGAGGACCCCAGTTATGACAACTTAAATAAATTAGACATCCCAGATTACCCTATCATACCAGGTAAAGCAGAGCTCATTAAGATCCCCAGGTGGGACATGGATTACACAGAAGAAGACAGCCCTACTAGACCCATGTCAACTTTCCAGAATAGTCCTAGCCCTACTTCAGACACCAAGACCTTTATTAGCCCATTCTTTGAGTTTAATCCAGATTTAGAATCTGAGGACAATTTGCACACATCTGAGTCCCCCGCCTTCTGGTCCTCAACTGGTCATGTTAAACCACTGATTTTGCCAAAACCACAAAAGGCAGAAATGTATGAGACAGGGGTGTAGGGATGCTCATACTGTACTGATAAGTTTCAGTGATACATTAAACATCTGAAAAATACATAAAATAAAAATATAAGAGGATACAAAATGTCAATAAAATGAATGCTCCTCAAGTAAAAAGCAATAAACTAACAACAGACAAATAAAAATGAGTACGAAATTCATCTACAAAGTTTAACCATCATCATCATGTAGCAAATCTTTTGTAGAACATCGCTCTCGTTACAGCCTGCCTGAAAGAAACTTTGTCTCTTGCCAACTCTTTGACCTTGTGCACTTTCCTACCAACGGTGTCCTTTATATCCTGTGCCACTCTCCACACTGGTCAGCCTCTGCCTCTCTTTCCTGATACTTTGTCTTCTGCTATTATCCTTTCCAACTGACCATGGTGCTCGATATGGCCAAAATATTTCAGTTTCTGAGACAAGATGCTGTTATCTAGCCCATCTTCCTTGATGCTCAAAACATTAAAGATGTCAATTATTTCATCCTGCTATTATAAAGTATAACCAATGAGGTGTGTGTGTGTGTGTGTGTGTGTGTGTGTGTGTGTGTGTCTGTGCGTTTATCTTTTTAAAAACAAATAAAAAAGTACTACTCTGGGCATGTGATGATAAATTGAAATTAAAACCAGACAGAATGGCTACTGCTGATGCTCCTCTGGGTGATGAACTACTTTATGATAGAGTGGACGTGGTGAAGGCTCTCCGGGATCAGATGGACAGAGCAAAAGACAGGGAACATATACAATGAAAGTCTTACTCAGTATTCAGCACTTTAAGGGGAGGGGGGGATGGGATATGGGCAGACTTTAAATCACACTGCAACTAGTACTAATAGCATGTCTATTCTTTTTTTGGCCACTGAAGAAAGAGACGGAACACATGTGGGAATGCCCTGAGTGCAGTGAAAATTGAAATTAAAACTAGATGTTTTTTACAATAAACAACATTTCCTACAAGTAAATGATTATTAACAAGCTGCATGCCAAATTTCAATAACTTACACGGAACAGTTATTGTGTTAAAAGATTTTTAAAGTTGTGCATGAAATCTGGAGCTAAATGTAGTGCTGGAGTAAAGACCATCATTCTAGAAAGGGTTAGCTCCAATGAATATGAGCATTCACTACTGGCCTTAGTATTATTACAGGGTAAATCCCTAACTGTTTCTATGATGCACCTCTCATACTTTTTTTCTGAATGCCGCGAGAGTGGTCTTATCTTTAAAACCTCAGCCATGGATATTTAACCCTTGTATCTTCAGCCTTGTGAAATGCATGAACTATAGTTTATTATGTGTTGATGTAAAATTGATTATTGGTTGGTTAATTATTTGATTTATTAATTGATTGGTTGTCTCATTAATTGACTGATTTATCCATTGGATAAACAGTTAAATAATATTCATGTATGTTTAATGTAATCATTACTTCATTATTGAATTGAAATATATTTTGACTTACTGACTGACTACTCATTAATTAAGTTAATTAATATGCCATTTTTAAAAGGTTGATTGATTGGTTGATTGATTGATTTAATAATTAATTGGATGGTTGATTGATTGATTGATGTGACTCATGATCAACATTCTCAGACTCAGAATTATTTAAAACATTATTATCTCCTCCCTCAGTACAATCTGAAAACCTTCAGAGTATGGAAACCTATAACACTAATGGGGACTAACCATATCATCACACTTGGTTCCACAAAAAATCCATGATAAATTCTGAAATATGATTCCAGAATAAGATCCCATGATATGATCCTACCAAAAAAATGAATTATTTTGTAGTCAAAGATTAAAAGCAAAGGATCCTACTGTACGGCCCTGCCATTAGATTTAATTTTATGATCCTTCAAGTGGATCACATCATATGTTCCTACCATCTTTTCACATCACATGATCACAGTGTAGAATTCCCACAGAATGATTCCATTATAGGATCCCAGCATGATACCAATATCATATTTCTCCATAGGATCACACTTTAGGATCTCATCATGGGATCTCACCACAGAATCTAACCAAATCATCTTTGCTTAAAATGGATGCTAGGCACAGTCACTGTTTTAAGTCGTGGCAAAGTTTTAGCTTCTGCCAGACGGTGGCCATTGCATTTTTGCTCCATTTGTAGACTGAAAGGATATAGTTTCGATGCCCAGCTACTGATTTGAGTGCATGGTGCCACCCTGTGAGCTGCCGATTTTCTTTAGAAATTTTTTAGACTGTGATCACATGGTGTTTGTAAATTGTAGATTCAGAAAATGGCGCGTGGCCTGTCGTCGCAATATTGGTAGTGCCCTTATGTGATTAAAATTGATCGTGTGTACAACTGCTGATTTGTTGGTTACTTCTGCTACCCTCGATTATGAACTGCATTTCTAATGTCAGATTGTTTGTGTTAGCACTTCTGATGGCTACTGTATGCTTTTAATGCATGTGTATGCTAATGCATATGCTGAGAGAGCAAGGGACTATGATGAACATTCTGTGTTTTTTTTTTCTGTTGTCACAGGAGCGGAGCAACAAGGGGGTGACCCATTTGCCATGAAGCTGAAACTAACATTAGCATTACCATAACCAAATCCTTTCACTAAAAGATCAAAGAATCTTGCCATAAGATTCCACCTAGGGATACTACCAAAATATCCCACGAAAACCATTCATCAGATGATCCCACCATAGGATCCATCATATAATCCCACCATGTGATTGACTGTAAGATTCCACCATAGAATCCAACCATGAAATACTACAATAGAATCAGTGAACCCTGCTATGTATTCCAGAAAAAGGATTCCACCTTTGAAACCCCCCTTTAGAATTTAACAAATAATCCCATCATAGGGCATCACCATGAATCCTATCATATTATTCTACCAAGAAATCCTCCCATATACACACCTAACTCACAACAACAACCGTGCCTAAAAACATTCTGGTGCTAATGAAGTACCTTTCGTCAGATCATATTTGTACATTAACAGACAATGATTATTGTAACATTTTTTTTGAGTCAAGGGTAACAAAACCTGGGAGTTATGGCACATTGATCCTCAAGGTGCATCTGTCTGAGAGGCATGGAACCAACAGTCTGCATACAAGTGAAACCAGTCTGTTGAAAAAAAAGTGCCTGCAAAACTCCAGTTCTAGAGCAAGACCAAAGTCTAGAAGTGACCAAACAACCTGAACTTTCAGCCGGAGTTTACAGCCAGTGGATACTAAAAAGAAGAAGATTATTATCAGAGCACCTAAAAAAAGGCTTAAGCAATTTCAGCTCCTCTGCCCTACTCAATCATTTTGAAAGGGAAGAGGGGGAAAAGGACTGAGCCCCACCAATATAATATTTTCTTTGTGTCTGAGCTCCTAATTATAGTACTCTAGTGTTATACCTTTGGTCTTCCTTTATTTACAACTTTTTTCCTGTAAAATTGTAAAATATTTTTTCAAGTATATTTCACTTTCTTAGGATTGTCAATCTGTACACATTCAAGCTAACTCAGTGTGATCTTTTCAGTCTATTACCTCAAGTAGTCATCCTTCACTGTGTGAGCATCCTCAGTACCATTATTTCAGTCAACACACACACACATGCATGCATGCACGCACGCACTCATGCACTCACACACACACATGCATGCATGCACGCACGCACGCATGCACTCACACACACACATGCACACACACACACACACACAAAAGAAGAAGAAGAAAATTAATAACTGCAAAGGCAGACATGAGACATAAAGAAGCCACAATATTCTGTAATATTATGTACATAAAAGGAATGTTATGTTTTAATGTAGCTGCTTGTCTCTGACACCCCTTCTTTTTTCTCCTACACTCCGTTCTATTATGCGTTAATAAAGACATGTTTATCATCATCCTCAGGTGCCTTGCCGACTGGCGTGGGCGATCATGCTTCTCCATAATCTGCGATCTCCTTCAGCATGTATCAGTTCGTGTGCCGACACATCTCTATGCCATGCAACAAGACTGTCAAGCATCTTCTCTCGTTGTCTTCCTCTATCTCTTCTTCCACAGATCTTTCCAGTGGTCACAACATGTTCTATTTTCCCTCTTCTCATAACATGGCCGAAAAATGATGACTGTCTCCTTCTGATGTCTGTGATAAGTTATCATCATGCTCCCGCCGCTTTCAAAACCTCTTGGTTGCTCTTTTTGGCTGTCCAAGGTATTCTAAGCATTCTTCTGTAAAACCACATCTCTGAGGCCTCTAAAAATTGTTTGGCCTTCTTACCGATTGTCCAGGATTCACATCCATATGTTAAAACTGGATGTATGTAGCAAGCAAGAATTCTTATTCTAACTCTCAACGACAAGGAACATGTTTATATAAGTATATATATATATGTATATATATGTGTGTGTATATAAATATATATATGTGTGCGCGCGCACACACACACAGACTTACATCAAAGAGGATAACAGTATAAGCTGCTTATTTATTTCTTAACTGTTTGATGTCCCTAAGGCCTTAATGTGATTTTCAAATCAACTTCCTTTGACTGTTTATTTCCAAATGGGCAGCTCATACACCCATTAAACACAGCATGTTGTACATTTTTCACTGTTATTACGCATCTGTGTGTCTGAATTGTGTGTTTACTACATTTTTCATTGCAATAAATTCCAAATGTGGGTTTCAGAGCCCTATTTTGAGAGGAAGTATAATAGGCCCACTGACCTCTAGCAAGTGTGTCCTGAAAGATGATGACTATTCATGGGTTTGTGCTTCAAACTCAGTGCATCTGCTTGAGAGGCGAGGAACCAACAGTCAACATATATATATATATATATATATATATATATATATATATATATATATATATATATATATATATATATATATATATATATATATATATATATATATATATATATTAAATTATCAGTTACTGTATATTTGGTTGTGCACAAAACACTCAAGTTCTGTGACAGGAGCAAAGTTCAGAATTGGATGAGCAGACC